CACTATGGGACAATTTAGCACGGCCAATCCACCCTAACCTGCACATCCCTGGGCACTATGGGACAATTTAGCACGGCCAATCCACCCTAACCAACACATCCCTGGGCACTATGGGACAAGTTAGCACGGCCAATCCACCCTAACCTGCACATCCCAGGGCACTATGGGACAGTTTAGCATGGCTAATCCACCCTGACCTGCACATCTTTGGACTGTGGGAGGAAACCGGAGCACCCGGAGGAAACCCACACAGTCATGGGGAGAATGTGCAAACTCCACGCAGAGAGTCGCCCGAGGATGGGATTGAACCCGGGTCCCTGGCGCCGTGAGATAGCGGTGCTAACCCACTGAGCCAGCAAGTCTGGACCAATAAGGGAAGATGCAGAGATCTGGAGACCTGCTCGTGACCTTGCAGAATGGGTTTGGAAAGGGTCCATGGGGTCTTTCGAATTTCTGGGATCTCCTTCCCAGGCTGATTGTTCCCACAATTATTCAGGGCCAGGCCTGGGCCACAACAAGCAAATTATGGCAAGAGTGGGGGAGAGAGTGAAAAAAGAGAGACCCAGGGAAAGGGAGAGCAGGAGATACAAAGAGAAAAGTAGAGACAAAGAGACAGACAACAGGAGGGAATGGGACAGCCAGAGAGTGAAAAATATGGACACAAAGATGTAGAGAGACAGGCATCCAGAGAGACAAAAATGAGAGGTACAGAGAGAGACCGAGAGAGAGACAACGGGAGGGAGAGGGACAGAGAGAGAGAGACAGACAGAGACACACAGAGAGAGTCTGAGAGAGAGAAAACAGGATGGAAAGGGACAGAGAGAGAGGAAAAACAGGAACAGAGAGAGAGAGAGACAACGGGAGGGAAAGGGACAGACAGAGAGAAAAAAAAAGAGATGGAGAGAGAGACAGAGAGATAGACAATGGGAGGGAGAGGGACAGAGAGAGAAAAATAGGAACAGAAAGAGGCAGACAGACAGACAGAGACAGAGAGTGACGGAGAGAGAAATGTGAGGAGAGCAAAGGAGAGACAGGAAAGGGGAACAAGAGAGAGAGGAAGCGAGAGAGAGAGAGAATGAAAGGTTGAGATAGTGGGAGAAAACAGGAGACAGAGTGGGGCAAAGGGAGATGGACAGATAGAGGGAGAGACTGTGACAGGGAGAGAGAGAGAGGTGGGGTGGGTGTATGTACTGGATTCAGTATCCTTACAGATTTTCCTGTGATGCTCAGTACACAGCATTGCAGGCCAGCCTGGGTAGGAAGGGGCTGTGCCAGTCATGTGCAGTTTGTGAGCAGGACTGTGTTCAGAAGCATTGCCTGTCACAATCTCTGTTCACAATCCTCCCAGTGACACACTCTCCCCACCCCGGCCCTGTCACTGACTGGTCCATCTCTGGGCTACAGAAAACTGACCACCTCACACATACCCAGGCACGTCACAGCAAACCCCTCCAGCTGAGGCTGGTATATCATGGCTAGATTATACAGTGGGGTGGCGGGGGGAGGGAGAGAGAGAGAGAGAGACAGGGGAGAGAGCAAGGTAGGGGAGAAACACAGAGATAGAGAGATGGGGTGGGAGAGAGAGAGAGACGGGGAGAGAGAGGGAGACGGGGAGAGAGAGAGGGAGGGGAGAAACAGACAGCCTTAGAGAGACACAAATGAAGAGGAGCAGTGAGACAGGGATAGAAAGATAAAGTGACAGAGGAAGAGAGAGTGAGAGATAGATAAAAGGCAACAGGGTGAAACAGACGATGGAACAAGACAGATAAAGAGGAGTGAGAGAAAGGGAGAGTGACAAACAGTGGGAGAGAGAGAGACACACAGAGACAGAGAGAAAGACAGAGATAGTCACAGAGTGAGACGCAGAGAGAGAGAGAGAGAGCGAGGAAAACAGTGACAGAGACCGAAAGTAGGACTGAGAGTCTCTATGATCTCCTGTCTCAGTTCCCAGTATAATATTGGAATTATGACGGGATCCTCTAACTGCCTCCCCATATCACTTGCTTTCCTACCTCCTGCCTCCCTGTCTCTCTCTCTCTCTGTGCTTCCCCACCCCCCCACTCCCTGCCCCAGACATCCTGAGGAGCTGACAGGAAGGGCACTGGGTCCTCTCACCAATGTCGGATACACGCATCTCCCTGCTGTTCCTCTGCAGCCACCCTCCCCTCCTCTCCAACACACTCACTCTCACACACACACACACACACACACACACGCACTCTCTCTCACTCACACACACACACACAGACACACACACAGACACACACACACATACATACAGTCACACACACTCACACACGCATGCACACACACAGATGCACACACACACAGTCACACACACACACACACGCACACACATACACGCAGACTCTCGCACACACACAAACGCACACACACACACACAGACACACCCCCCTCCACACAGACACACCCACACATGGGTAAGAGGGTCAGAATCATAAGGAGGGAGATGATGATATACATAGTGACACACACACACACACACACACACACACACACAGGGAGACACATGGACAGTGAGTGTGAGGAACAGGGAGAGAGAGAGAGAAACGTACAGAGACACAGACTCTGAGAGAGAGCGAAAGGGAGATCAATGGAGACAGAAGGAGACGCACACAGACAACGTGATATAGAGGGTGTGAAGGACAGAGAGAGAAAGAGAGACACAGTGAGAGATGTGGAGAGAGACCTAGAGAGAGTGATAGAGAGATGAGGAGAGAAGGAGAGAAACGGAGACAGGGTTAGAGACAGAGATGGACAGAGGGAGAGAGAACCTGAGGGAGACAGAGAGAGAGTGAAAGCGAGACAGAGTGACCAAGAAAGAGAAACTGAGTAAACGAGGGAGATAGAGAGAGAGATAGAGAGAGAGATGAACAGAGAGTGATAGAAAGTGACAGAGGGAAGGCAAGTGAGACAGAGAGATGAGAGTCAAGGAGAGAGATATGGAGTGAGGGAGAGGGAGCGAGGCGGTGAAGGAGAGGGACAGAGCGCGAGGTGGTG